TGAAATTCCCGCATTCTGCTGTGATTTCCATGTCTTGTGTATGCGTGCCTGCTGGTTTGCATGCCTGTCTGAGTGCTGTCTCTTATACACATCTAGATGTGTATAAGAGACAGATATCGGGTAAAGGCCCTTTTAGAGGGAAAAAAGTTGACAAAAAAAAGGTTTTCTAATTTTTCCCTTTTGGTTTTGAAAATTTGAATTCAGATGGTATGGGTTATTCTTTGACTCTTTTTCGATTTCTGCCGTAGAAGGAACTGCAGACCAAAGCTTTATGGTTCCACTGGGTTCTACACTTAGCTGGGTAGGACTGTGTACTTCAGGTAGCAGTTTTGATCTTCGGTGGTTACCACTCCTTTGTATTCTCTGATTTTTCTTTATGCTTGCTGGGGATAAGCAACCGGACTGGTGCCCTCCTAGAATTTAAAAGGGGCCTTTCTTTTCAAAAAAAAGAAAGAAAAGAAAACTACCAATGTTTTTCCAGCAATTAACTCCGATGCGGCTGTGCATGCCCTGTGGCTTTTGGGGCTTGGCCTACTGGAGCGAAATGTCTGGTGCTGCAGAAGCGTACATGCAGGTTGTTTTTTTCTTTGGGCACAGTGGAAATCCGCTTTGGCAAAAGGAAGCCTCCAAGTACTTGTGGTTTAAGGGAGCCATTGTGGAGGGGAGGGAGCAGATGATGTGAAGTGGGCCATATATTCATGGGGGAGGAGTGTTTGTCGTTGCCTAGTGATTTGAGGGTTGATTGCACTAAAGAGAGGGTGGGGGCTGGGTCATTGTCAACGGGGGGGGGGGATCATTGTCAAGGGGGTGGGATTGGTTAAATGATGTCAATGGGGAGGGGGGGGGAGGGGGGGGGGGGGTGGGATGATATAGCGTTTGTGAGACACAAGTTCAAACAATGATGAACTTAGTTCATTATTTTGGTTTACTGTGCTTGCTTGGCGTTATTTGTGGGAGTCTGATCCCTCGCTGACCAATGGGAAATAAAGGACTGCTTGGGTGCATGCCTCAAGAGGTAAAGAAAAAGGGGGAAAAGAAAATGTAAGGAGGATCTTGTCACACAATGGTTTCCATTGAACATGTTGCCTCTGACACGTGTCAGGGCCACTGATTCAAGCTGTGATCCCCTTTCTTGGCGGGTGGAACTTGACTGTTGGTTGCAGGTTGAGTTGATGGCCAAGTCTCTACAAAGATTAGACACAAAGAGAGCACTCGTTGTTCACTCACAAGGGCTTGACGAGATTTCGCCAATGGGTATGCCGGAACTTCCTTGCCTTCATAGTCAATCAACTAAACACGTGCCCAATGAAGAAGAGGAGGAAGAGGAGGAAGAGGAGGAAGAGGAGGAAGAGGAGGAAGATGACGAAGAAGACGGAGAAGACGAAGAGGACGAAGAGGACAAAGAAGAAGAAGAAGAAGAAGAAGAAGAAGAAGAAGAAGAAGTTGATGACAACGACGAGAAGAAGAAGATGTTGATGACAACGACGAGAAGAAGAATATGTTGATGACAACGACGAGAAGAAGAAGATGTTGATGACAACAACGAGAAGAAAATATGTTGATGACAACGACGAGGAAGATGAAGACGACGAAGAAGAAGAAAAAGACAAAGATGAAGACGATGACAACGAGGAAGAAGAAGAAGAAGAAGAATGCAGTACGGTGTTTCACCATTGTGTCGTGGGGTGTAGCATGGTGGCCTGTCCTTGTGAACATGTCGAGCGTTGGACTTGGAAAGTTCCGAGCAAAACGGGACTTCAGAGGTGTTTGGGAGTATTGGGGGGCTAGAGCTGGACTTGAATCTGGGCTTGCTCTGGGGTCCTGAGTGCTATCTTATCAGCAGACTTTTCTTGCTCTGCAGTTAGTTGGGTTTATTTCCCACGTGCTCGGGCACGGATGTCATGCCTGGACACATGCCTGGGCATCTGGCCAACTGGCCAAGGTCCAGGTGCAAGGAAAATGAGCAATAGCGAAATGACAGAAATCCAGATTGCAAATCGCATTGAAAGCCAGTAGTCGAATGCTGTCCAGAAAGCATCTGATGTTACACCGAAGGAGAACCAAAGCATCAAACTCAATTGTCAATGAAAACATTTACTCGCCATTACCGACAATGCAATCGTAGCTCGTCCTCCTACTAGCGCTCAGCGCCCAGACTACGTTCACACAGTTACTCTATCCTATACCACAAAGTGATGGAGCAACCAGTTGACATCAGCAGCAACAACCGAAGTACATGCAGATGTAGACCATGCAGACCATCGCCAAAACCAGGTACATGCCCTCACATCCTCGTCCTCATCTCTTTCTCTCTCCCTCGCCTTTTCTTCACCCACGTCTGCCTTCGCACGACGACCACCACCACCTCCGCTGACTACATCCAAGCTGGCGCCCGGTTATGGGGGCCCAGCTATGGCGCTGCCTCAGTGCAGCGCCCTTTTCCAAGGGACCGATCTCGCCCAACACTTCCTCCTGCGGCCTCTGAGCGCTATCGTGGCAGCACTGCCGCTCATGTGAGCAAGTGTCCGCATCCCCTCTGCGTAGCCCGCCCATTTCCTAAATGGGAAGTGGTGGGCTTGCTGTCTGCCACCTGCCTCGTGGGACCGAATTTCCAGTAGCTTCACTCTTGGCCAAAATGTCTGCGCCCAGGCCGACTCAGACAGTGGCCTGGGATGGAATTGGTTAGGCATGCCCAACCACCTAGGTGCAAGGAAAACGAGCGATAGCGAACTTCAGAAACCAAGCAGCATCATACACATGAAACCAGATAGTCGTGACCTCGAACCAAAAGCAGAATTGCAACACGAGTTCCACCAAATAAGTGCACAACAAAAGCTCACAAGTGACAATGTTGGAATAGTCTCATCATCATCAACAATGAACCAATGTCGACATCCTATCTGACGCTCTGCGCCCAGACTGCAAATGGCAGATCCTATCGAGCCTATCTACAATGTCGCTGGTGACGTCAACAGCTCCCCGAAGTATGAGCAGATCTCGGCCAATGCCGTTCGCCTCAAGCACCAGGTATGTCTCTCATATCACTCACAACCTCTATCGCCCACTCACAGATGCCACATTCACCCAAGGACCACCATACGCCCCATCCAGCTCACGGCAGCGCAGCTCGGCTATGGCTGCCTGCTCTCTCTGCTCGCCCGTGAGTGCGTGGGCCTGGCCAGCAATTAGCGCAGCAGCGCTTGCGCAGCATGCAGCAGTGCCCGAATACCGAATCTGGAGGCAGGCCCTTTCCTAATGAATGTGGCCTGCCTGCTGCGTGCGGCAAGGCTCCACTGGGCCCCAGCCCAGAAGCTTCTGGTAGGCCCCGTGAGGTTGAGCCTCAGTCCAGACGAATCAGGCCCAGGGCCTGTGGTGGTTACCCGTGCCCAACTGCCCGCAGCCTGTGTTCGGTCCATGTTGCATATCTGGCCCAGGGCCTGCCTCAGTTACATTTGATAAATGCAGCTATGGCGCTGCGCAATTGCCTGAATTTTCCCCAGTTGCGTGGTAGTCCAAAACAGGCCTAGGTCGGGCCAGCCTTCACTTAGGGCGGCCGACCTTGCCGACAACAGAGCCCAGTAGGGCTTACCGAGGCCTTGTGCCTCGCATAGGCACAAACGTGCGGTGTTCCCTGCTTTCACCACGTTGCTGGAAGAGCCCGGAAGACTGACGAATATTTCAGATTCTCACGAGCAAGGCGGATGTAACCAACTGGCGCGTGGCAACAGTCTGGCACCCAGGGTTGTCATGCGGGGACCCCCGGGGCCCAAGCCGGGGTAGGGGTTCCACCCCCGGACCCCCGCACCCACCAAAACACCCCCACCCCTGCCCGGGCACCCCTGGCCGCGCCCC